AGGGCTGGGAAAGGGTCCAGGAAAGGGCTGGGAAAGGGGGAGAAGGGGGTTGGGAGGTTCCTGGGGGGGGTTGAAAGGAGGGAAAAGGGCCACGGAAACCCGGAAAAGCTTCCCCTGTTCCCTCCCCAGTGATCAACAAGTACAAGCGCCGGCGCTTCCAGAAAACCAAGAACCTCCTGACGGGGGAGACGGAGGCGGATCCCGAAATGATCAAGGTCCAGGGAGCTCCTTTTTGGGGGGGGTTGGGGAGGTTTTGGGGGGGTTTTGGGGGGGTTTTCCCGACTTGGGCAAACCCCTTGACGTCCAGGGCCCTTGGTGGGCTCCTTGGAGGGTTTTTGGGATGGAGGAGATGGTCTCCAGGATCTCCTTGGAGGGTTTTTGGGATGGAGGGGATGGTGTCCATGGGATCCTTGGAGGGTTTTTGGGATGGAGGAGATGGTGTCCATGGTCTCCTTGAAGGATTTAGGAAGGAGGGGATGATCTCCTTGGAATACTTGGAAGGAGGGGATGGTCTCCATGATCTCCTTGGAGGGTTTTTGGGATGGAGGGGATGGTCTCCATGATCTCCTTGGAGGATTTTTGGGATGGAGGGGATGGTGTCCATGATCTCCTTGGAGGGTTTTTGGGATGGAGGGGATGGTGTCCATGATCTCCTTGGAGGATTTAGGAAGGAGGGGATGATCTCCTTGGAATAATTGGGAAGGAGAAGATGATCTCCTTGGAATACTTGGAAGGAGGGGATGGTGTCCATGATCTCCCTCCAGGATTTTTGGGATGGAGGGGATGGTCTCCATGATCTCCTTGGAGGATTTCTGGGATGGAGAGAATGATTTCCTTGGAGTATTTTTGGGATGGAGAAGATGATTTCCATGATCTCAGTGGAGTTTTTTAGGGAAAGAGATGATGATCTCCTTGGAATAATTGGAAGGAGAGAATGATCTCCATGATCTCCTTGGAGGGTTTTTGGGATGGAGGGGATGATCTACTGGGAGGATTTTTGGGATAGAGGGGGATGGTCTCCATGATCTTGGAGTCTTTGGGAAGGAGGAGATGATCTCCTTGGAATACTTGGAGAGAGGGAATGGTGTCCATGATCTCCTTGGAGGATTTTTGGGATGGAGGGGATGGTCTCCTTAGAGGATTTTTGGGATGGAGAGGATGCTCTCCCCGATTTCCTTGGAGTCTTTGGGATGGAGCTGATGATCTCTCTGAGTATTTTTGGGATGGAGGCGATGATCTCCATGATCTCCTCGGAGGATTTTTGGGATGGAGGGGATGATCTCCATGGAATATTTGGGATGGAGGGAATGATCTCCGTGATCTCCTTGGAGTCTTTGGGAAGGAGCTGATGATCTCCTTGGAATAATTGGGAGGGAGGGGATGCTCTCCACGACCTCCTCGGAGCATCCCTGGGTTTGGGGAGGGGGTTGTCTCTTCCCTCTCCCCGGGGGTTGACGGATCCGGCGCCGCTCCCGGCCGTGGATCCGGCGCCGTTCCCGTTGCAGAGGGCGGAGGATTTCGGCCCCGTGGAGGTGATTTCCCACTGGCACCCCAACCTGACCATCAACATGGTGGACGACCACACGCCCTGGGTGAAGGGCAGCGTCCCCCCGCCCCTGGACCAGTGTGAGCACCGGGAATGCCGGGAGCATCCCGACATTCCGGGGATTGGGGGGATCAGGAGGGTCCCCGGGAGCTGGGAGGGTCTCCCAGGGGGATTTTGGGGTCACAACTGGAGGGGACACACCCAAAACTGGGGCAGGGGGGTCAGAACTGAAAGGAGGAGCACCCCTGCAGCAGTGGGAACACTGGGAATTCCGGGAGCATCCTGAAATTCCTTGGCCCAGG